CATAAGAGACATAAGCATTACATAAGTCATATCAACACATTAGGACCAACATCTAGGACAACCCTAAGTCATATTTGTGCACTGTAAGAGTAGCATCCCATACAACTACTCACACTAAGAACTCCTTTGAAGCCACCCTAGACAAGGCACATTCATACACAATAATTCATCACAAGGAAGTAACTCATAGTACAATCCAAGTAAAACATGCATCATAACATTTAAGCATATAAGTCAACCTTCTTCATTAGCTTCATTAAGAGCACTTTCATTCATTATTGATGAAGACCTTAGAGAACTCACTATGACCCTCTCAAAGCCTACTCGTGTAATGCATGGATAGCATCCCATACTACCACCTATACTTCATAGAACTTCGCAAGAAACTATAATGCACATATCATGTGATGGGAATACGTTTTAACTGACAGAGACCATGAGAGCTAAATTATGGAATCAAGTGTCGTATAAACCCACACCAAAGGAAGGTGTTTTACTTGCCTAAGGTAGAACTAGTAACATTTTAGCGTAGGTCGAAACCACTAGCTAATATCCTATGTTGGCACATAGTTATGGTATAGAAAGATGTTCATTGGAACCCAGCCTAACATGGGGAGAGTTTCCATCTTACCATATCCATTCGGTACTTTTCCTCCATTCCCATAGAGTAGTTCCTTTTCATTAACATTACTGTACTTGAGAGGGCCACCAACATTAGGCCTACCGACTCAAAGTACATTGCACAAGAAAGGGCCACCACCATAAGGTCTACCGATTCAAGGTACATTAAGGATAGCTCATTGACTTTCCAAGAAGGGCCACAAACATTAGGTCTACCAATACAAGGTTCATAATGTCACACATGAAAGGGCCACCAACATTAGGCCTAACGATCCAAGGTTTATCATTCATTCATTAGCTTTTGGACTCATCATGAAAGGCTACCGACATTAGGTCTACCGGTTCAAGACATAGCCTAGAATACTTCATCATTCATTTAAGAAAGGGCTACCAACATTAGGTCTACCGATTCAAGTTTATTTCATTCATTCGTTAACTCCTCGTGAATGGGCTATCACCATTGGGTCTACCGATTCATGTTAATTAAGTCAAGATACATTCATTACACAAGAAGATGATGCCTAAACCTACCAATTCAAGATACAACATTCAAGGTCACATTCATCAATACTATAAAAGGATGCCTTAAGCCTACCAATTCAAGATACATCAATCTCCATTACTTTAATTTATACAATAAGAGGATGCATAAGCCTGCCAATTCAAGATACAACATTACATTATAGAAACCCTTCACATTTTATCATCATCACTCATGAGTGTTAATTGAGAATATGCTTTCAATTATAACACAATTACCTTGTAAACATGATCATAATACCTTCATTGAGGCCACATACATATACGCATAACATGTTCATACATAGATTCATCATGAAATTGCCTTCCAAGGCTATACATCAATCACAACCCAAACATCTAAGCTACTACAATAGATAAAGGAATTTTCAATGTCTAATTCAACATAAACATAAACAATTCAATATACTTTCATAATTCAATCAATTCCCAATAACAAATCACAACTTAGGATTTTGGGGGAAAACATGGGTTCATAGAATAAATCATCTTAATTCACCATTAAAACATCAATTAAACCATGATTCATCACTTAAATGCCTTTTGAAAACGTTTGGAATTGAACCCATGCATAAATTGAAAACTAGGTTTTTGGGGAACTTTTGGAGACTTGAAATTAACTTTGAAATTGAGTCCTTGAAAGAAACTAAGTCAAGGATGAAGACTACCATACCTTTTAGAGCAGGAAATCCACAAAACTTGAGTGAAAATGGTGAGGTCTTGACCTTGAGAGCTTGAATCCTTCACCATCAATGGAGGTTCCTAGAGAGAACTTTTGAGAAGAGAGGTAGGTTCTAATTTGGGTTTTGAAATAATGAATTGGAAAATAGAGTTTAATACTTTTAATACTCTTAAAATACCATAATTAACCAAAAATAACCATCCCTCAACCAAAAATACAACTTCAAGTGCTGCCCATTTACCTTGAATGGTGGACTTTCTTTACCTTCGACCTCAATGGCCCAATTTTTGAATACTCGTGTAACTTTAAAAGGTCTGGACTACTTCGACTTGAGCTTTCCCGAAAATAGTCTCTGTTAAGAATTGTACAACAAGTCGCCAACTCGAAATTCTCTTCTAAGGATTTTAGAGTCATGCCATTTCTTCATTTTTTCTTTTAGAGAAATGAACCATCATATGCTTTAAACCTGAATTCTTCTATTTCATTCAGCTGATCCATTCTCCCTTTCGAAGCATTTGCCCAATCCAGATTTAATGCCTTTAATGCCCATAGTGCTTTATGTTCAAGTTCAATTGATAGGTTACAAGACATCCCAAAAACCAGCTGATATGGGGACATGCCAATTGGTCTCTTCTACGCGGTGCGATACACCCAAAATGCATCATCTAGATTTCGAGACGATTCAGTTCTATTTGCATTCACTGTCTTAGCCTAGATACTCTTAATCTCCCAATTCAAAACCTCAACTTGGACACTTGTTTAGGGATGATAAGGTGTTGCCACTTTATGTTTTACTCCATATTTACTCAATTCGGATGCAAACAATCGGTTGCAAAAATGTGAACCTCCATCACTAATGATAGCCCAAGGAGTGCCAAATCTTGCAAAGATGTAGCGCTTTAGAAATTTGACAATACTCTTACCTTCATTGTTGGGTAGTGCTATAGCTTCCACCTATTTAGAAACATAATCCACATCCACCAAGATATACTTGTTACCAAACTAGCTCACAAATGGCCACATAAAATATATCCCCAAGACATTGAATAATTCAACTTCTAGAATAGGCTGAAAAGGCAACTCATGCCTTCTTGACACTCCGCCTTGTTTTTGGCATTGTATGTATTTCATGAAAAATTCATGGGCATCTTGGTAGAGGGAGGCCAGTAGTAACCACTTTGAAGAATTTTAGCGGTTGTTCGCACCACGCTATGATGACCTCCAATCGGTGAAGCATGAAAAGCATTTAGAATTTCATTGACTTCCTCCTCCGGTACACATCGCCGGATAATATGGTCTGCACATTCTCTAAATAGATATGGTTCATCCCAGAAATATCTTTTGACATTGAACAAGAACCGTTTTTGTTGATAGAATTTAGGTCTTCCGGCATTAGCCCACATACCACATATTGACAAAATTAGCATGCCAAGGAGTCTGCATAAGAGTGGCCATGAACACCTGCTCATTTGGGAATGAGTCATTTATGTCTAACTCAAGCTCATCTTTCTCTTTGCCCTTCAACCTAGATAGGTGATCGGCCACTTGATTTTCACAACCTTTTCTATCCTTGACTTGAAAGTTGAATTCTTGCAACAACAATACCCACCTTATAACAGTGTTTTCGTATATTTCTTTGACATTAAGTACCACAAGGCTGCATGATCAGTGTGAACTACCACTTTGGTACCTAGCAAGTATGCTCGGAATTTCTAAAATGCGTAGACCAGCACAAGTAACTTTTGCTTCGTAACAGTGTACTTACGCTGAGCACTATTTAATATTTTGCTTGTGTAATAGATTGGATGGAATAGTTTATTGTGCTTTTGCTCAAGAACAACACCCAATGCAGTCCTACTTGCATAACACATCATATCAAAAGGTTCTGACCAATCGGGGCTAATAATCACCGGAGTGGAGATTAACTTTTCTTTCAAACACTTAAAGGCTACCATACATGCGTTATTAATGTCAAATTTTTCCTCCTTCTTAAACAACATGCACAAAGGGAGTGGAATTTTTGAGAAATTTTTGATATATCTTTGGTAGAATCCAGCATGTCCCAAGAAACTACGAATACCTTTTATCGAGATTGGCGGTGGTAGCTTCTCCATTACCTCAATATTTGGTTTGTAAACCTCCAGCCCCTTTTGTGATACCTTGTGGCCCAAAGCTATACCTTCCCTAAAAATGAAGTGGCATTTCTCCCAATTTAGGACGAGATTGGTTTCCACACATCTTTGAAGAGCTTGCCCAAGGTGTGCCAAACATGCTTCAAAAAAATAACCCACAACTCAGAACTCATCCATGTAAACTTCCATTGAATCTTCTACCATATCAGCAAAAATAGACAGGATGCAATGTTGGAACGTTGCCGGGGCCTTACACAACCAGAATGGCATCCTTTTGATTGCAAAAGTACCGTAGGGGCAAGTGAACGTGGTCTACTCCTAATCTTCCGGTGCAATAGAGATTTGATTATAGCCATAATAACCATCCAAGAAGCAATACCATCCATGTTCTGAAAGTCGATCAAGCATCTGATCTATGAAAGGCATGGGAAAGTGATCTTTTTCCTTCCATGAATTTAACTTTTGATAATCCATGCAAACCCTCCATCCAGTTATGGGTCTCATAGAAACTAGTTCCCCTTTTTCATTCGGGACTACTGTGATGCCTCTTGCATTGGTGGGTTCAATCTCCTTTGATGCTCGACACTCGGTTTGCACTCACTATCAAGTTAAATCTTATGAGTGCAAATGTCAGGTGTAATACCCACGATGTCAGCGATTGTCCACCCTATAGCCTTGATGTACTTCCTCAACACCTCAAGAAGCAAATTTACTTGCCATTCAAGCAAGTCAGCTGCAATGATAACTGGTAAGGTGGTGTTTTACCCAAGGAATGCATATCGCAAATGAGTGGGGAGAACTTTCAACTCCAGCTTTGGTGGTTCCACCATAGATGGTTTGGCGGGAGGATTTTCTTAATTTTTTAGATCAATGTCCAGCGTCAATTGATTTCTTGAATATTCACCTAATCCTGACAGGGCAGCCACCACTTCATCTTACTCTATAACTTTGGCTTCATCATAATTTGCTAGAACATCCTCAAGAGGTTCACTCATACACATCAGATGGCTTACACTAGCCATTGCTTAATCAATCACATTGATTGTTGAGACCAAATGAATATCGGTCGGGTATTTCATTGATTTGCACACATTAAAAGTAACCTCATATGTGTTTACTCGAAACTTCAATTCTCCATTTTCAACATCCACTAATTCTCTCCCTGTTGCTACAAATGGTCTTCCCAAAATAATGGGAATTCCAGCATCAATCCCACAATCAAGAATAACAAAATCAGCCGGGAAGATGAATCGATCAACCTTTACCAATATATCATAGAGTATCCCAATGGGATGTTTGATCGACTGGTCCGCCATAAGAAGCCACATTGTTGTGGATTTTGGTTCGCCCAGCCCAAGTTGTTTATAGATTGCATAGGGCATTAGATTTATACTTGCCCCCAAATCACATAAAGCTTTAGCAAATTGAAGCATACCGACGGTACATGGGATGGTGAATGCTCCCGGATCGTCTTTCTTTATAATCATCTCACTGGTCATAATGGCACTACAATTATGAGAAACTTTGATTGTCTCAAAGTCCATGCTTCTCTCTTTGGTTACTAGCTCCTTCATTAATTTGGGATAACCCGACATCTCCAACAATGCTTCCACTAACTTTAGATTTATAGAGAGTGTATTGAACAGGGATAAGAACTTCTTGAACTTTTTATAATATTTTTTCTTCTTCAGACGCTGAGGAAATGGAGGAACAATTTTGGGAAGAGGTTGCACATTCTTTGGAGTTGAGGTACCCTTTTCTTTATCTTTTTGCAACTCTTTGATGGGACTTTGCTTATGAATTTCCAGTGTATCCTTGAGCGTATCTCGGTCCAGTATTTGAATGTGATTCTCTTCCTCATCACTATCTTCTCTTCTTCATGAGCTTCCACCCCATCATTGTCCTTTGCATTACCAACTACCACTTTTCCACTTCGAGTCACAACTGTCAAATCTTTGTCACCATCAGCCCTCACAGTAGTTGTGTATTCAACTTCACCCAATTTGATTATCTTTGGTTCCAATTACGCTGAAAATTGGTTTAGTTGACCCTCAAGATGTTTGATTGCATCGACATGGGAATTCACTCTATTATTCAATTATGAGAAATTAGTCCTCATCTCTTTAAACATATCATCTGATCCTTCAACCTTGTCTATGATCCGTGACAATAATTCATCCACTTTCAAATCACTCGAACTACTCTTTGATCTTGGGTTGTCACTTGACTGTGTGTGGTATTTTTCATGACTCTCATCTCTCCTCCAAGAGTTGTTTTGTTCATTCCAATCTTAATAGTATCGTCTTCGCTCTTCTTCCTTAAATGAGTTCCAACCTTGATTCCCACCCGCATTAAAGTAGCTCGATTGAGAAGCCTCCTCAATTCTCAACACTCTTTTTACTTCTTTGAGTTCACCCACATTTTCTAGCACTTGTTTTTGCAGCAACTCCATATAGGACAACATTTTGCTAATATTCTCATCCCTCTCTTTCTCTTTATCAAGTTGTTCTTGTGTCATTCTAAAATTAAAAGGTGAAAGTCGTTCCTCTTATGTTTACCACGCCTGATTTATCTTTGTCATTTCATCAAGAAGTGATGAGCCTACTTCAAATGGTTGTAACATTATTCCTCCGCGAGCCAACTGGTCAGCCACTCCTTTGTTCACTGAGTCTAAACTTCGGTAAAAATACTAAAGTATCACATCACTCGGCAGCCCATGAATAGGACATTGTAAGAGCAACTTTCGAAATCTCAACCAATTTTCATGAATGGGTTCCCCTTCTATCCTCTTGAAGTTTTGGATGTTGTCACGCAATTTCACCATCCTTGAAGGTGGAAAGAACCTCAAGTAGAATGCCTCAGTGAGCTCTTCCCACGATAGAATTTAGTTTCTTGGTAGCTTTGCTAGCCATTTGGTTGCTTCTCCCATTAGAGAAAATGGGAACAACCTCAGCTAAATTAAATCTTACGAAATATCCTTGAGTTAGAATGGACTTCACATCTCTACAATGATCTTAATATGCTCATGAGGGTTCTCATGATCTAACCCTCCAAATATGCCTTTATCTTGCAAGAGTTATAGAAATATACTTGTCACATGGAAGGCAACATGGCCCTCAACCGAAGGTAGGAGAATGGCACCTACTCCCCCTACTAGAGCTTCATTGGCTTGCAAGCAATCGCCACCACCATCTGGTGTCAAATTGAGTCACGCTGCATTCATTTACACTCATCCCGTCACCTGATCACCACGCTTACAAAAAGAAGGTAAGTTGATTCAATTACAACACAACTAGATCAAAATATGAGTTTAATAATAGACTTCTAAACAACAAAAACTCCCCGGCAGTGGCCCCATTTGATTAACGTTTCAAATACACCCCTTCCAATTGTAGGTGCGAATATCGGTAAGCAGTAAAGAACCCAACAAAGAGTTGGGATCGAACCCACATGGAGTGGTACGTGTCTAGAATTCAGTTATGAGGTACGAATGTGATCTAATCAGTTGTAGGAATAAAAATTATCGATAAAAACATATAAAAAAATTCAAACGGGTGACAATAAATGTCAAATAAGGGTTTAGAGTTTATCACAATTAGCAATCACGACAACAACAAATAGCAAGAAGGGTCAAACGATTGAGAGATACTTCGGGGAATGACCAATCAACTACCAATTGTGCTAGAGGGGTGCTAGATAGCCACTGAAAGTTACTAAATCTTTGCGAATAGAAAGGACCCTAGATGAGACAGTTTTCTCTCGAACAACTACCTCGCTTCGATTGAGTTACCCTAGATGAAGACCTACCCACAATCTCACTCCATCTACTCTCTTGAGCTAGGAAGGTAGAACCTGGCTTAGAATTCACTCTCTCGAGCTGAACCCATAATAAACCAATTACTATGAATGTTAATTTATTGCTTTGGTTTTAGACTTCTCTCTCAAGAAAGCATAAAACACAAAAAGCAATGCAAGAAACATGCAAAGCAGCAAAGTAACAACAGCAATAAATTAGTCCCAATTTGATTAATCAAAGCAATCAATAATATCTAACACCCATGAGCTAAATTAGAAATTGATCACATGGTAAAACCCCTAAGATTAGGGGTTTTAGCTAGTCATCTCATAAAGTAGAAATTCAATACGTACAACATGCTTCATGATAGTGTATTGAGTGTTTCAACCTTAAAAAGAGGAAACTTTGCTTTAATGACAAGATCCAATTCGTAAATCTACTTCAAAACTGAGCAAGAACAATGTTTTCTTTGTTCTAGGTATGAGTTTCTCAATGCTTGGATGCTTTCTCTATCTTCAAAACAACAATTTATACTGATTCAAAATTTGACCTTTTGGGGTCAATCAGCGATCAAAGTCGGGTTTCGCGGACTATTCGGTAATGTGCCAATCGTCCCAATCTATCGCCTTCTTGCTTCATTTTTTTAGTCCATTTGTACTGTACATTTGGGCGATCTATATCAGGATCGCCGATCACTTCCGTGATTCGCCCTTTGTTCCATTGGATCGCTAATCTGCTTGAATCTTCACTGCTCATTCTATTCTTTCGGCAGTTTACAACCGCCCTTCACCGATCCATTCGACAATTAACCAATATGGAACACAGTTAGCCCAAATTTCTCTCATCGCAGTCGTGTACTGTAAAACTGGGTGGGCTAAGGAGCCACTCGGTGAATCGTCAAGTAGTCTTGGTGATTGCCAGGTTCACTCTTCTCCAATCCAAAGCTTGTTAGTCTCTTTTTGTTCGGTAGTATCTTTACCATGCTCCTCAGCCTTATATGATTCAAATCAACACTTTAACATCAGTTTAATGCCTAAATTAGGCAATTGAGGACACTAACATTGTTAACACAAAGCCCTTAATGAGTCCAAATCTCAGACTCATCAGTCCCCTACACAGGTGGACAACGTTGTTACTTGGGACCGGGCTATGATGATAGCAACAATTATAGCGAAGCTAGAGCTTGATTTCGCATCTAGATTGCCGAGATCCATGAGAGGGAATTAAAGACTACTACTACTATGCCAATCTCGTGTCTTATATACCATTTCTACAGGGAGGTTGAGGTTCTTATTTGGCATTCTGATAGGCTGACAGAGTCGACAAAGAATGTGGACAACGACCTCATTAGAGATGATGAAAATCTTAATGCTCCGTGGAAGAACTTATAGGTGGACCTATCGCCCTTGGATGTTGATCTTGATGCTGATGTGGATCACATTCAGGCTGGTGACACCACCATACCTCCTGCTTCTGCAGATGCCCAGGTTCCCCCTTCCACTGCCACCAATCAAGCCGTGAGCTCATCCCGAGCCACTCTCCCTTCAGGGTCCACTCTAGTCCCTTTGGCCCGAGTCTTGAAGTTGGAGGCCCAGATGGCTACCTTGTTGTAATACATGAGGAGTTGGATGCAGCGATCTGTTGTGGAGTCCAAGGCTCGTATGGAGCAGATGATGGATAGGAAGATTCAGGCATTCAACAAGAGACTTGATGCATTCGAGTCAAGAGTCCTTAAGAGGCATGCCCCTACTATTGATATCACTACCTTCCACACAGAGTTGGCTAGCCTCTGTGCTGATGTCGATGCCCTTCTAGCCCCAGCTTAAACTATACCGAAGGCTGCACCTGCGGTTGAGGAGGATGAGGTGGTTATAACTGCCCTCTTTTGTGACACTATACCATCCCGTGTTGTTGGGAAGCACCACCGCTCTTCTGCTCATACTTCCCACACTGAAGAGGCCCGATGGGAAAAGCAGAAGGAGAGACAACATTTATAGGCGACCTATAGGTAGTCGATTATAGATGAATAGTGGAGGCAATAGCAGGCCCTTGAGGTAGATGTTGGCCATCTGGCTTGTGGAGCGCTACTGAGGTTGTTCCTATTGATGATGAGGGCGCTACTGATGGCGTCAAAGTTGCTGATCCAGCGGGTTCCAGGAAACCAGACCCACCCGCCTCTTAATGGATCTTCGGCGCATATATGCCACAGGTTTGCTTCACCCTATGCTTTATTTTTCTTTTTTCCTGTGCACTAATTAATAATGTTTCAAAGACACTTCATCCAATTCGAAGCTTCAACGGTCGTGAATAAGTATATAACCCAACTAAGTGAGTTGGGGTCGTATCCCATAAGGAGCTCTACGTGTTTAAGATTCAATTGAGAAGTGCGATTATGGTCAATCAGTCATAGGAATAGACGTTATCGAATAAATACATAATTCAAATCAAGGGGTGATATAAATGTCAAATAAGGGTGTTTTGGTTTTAATTATCAACTACAAACAACAAACAATATGAAATAACAATAATGAGATAGGTTCTTGGGATGTGATTCGATTATCGGCTATTTTAGACAAATGGGTAATTGCAACTATTAGAAACTAGCCAAATATTAGTGAGTAAGCTAGACTATAGAGGAGGTAAACTTTCTCTCGAACAATTTACCCCGAATCAAGTCGATTTCTCTCGAACATCGACAAGCATGCTAAATAAGACCAGCCCACACCTTAGTCCATTCACTATCTCGAGCTGAATATGTGGAAAAGAGTTTAGGATTCACTCTCTCGAGCGGAACCCATGACAACCCATACCCACAGACCACCAATCAATAATCTTAGTTTTAAAACCTCTCTCTCGAGCAAGCCAAAAACTCAAGGATAGAACTACATTTGCAACTACTATTCTTAAATTAAACCACAATTATTGATTGAACTCACTTCTAAATAGTATTTAGACTAACAATTAGCAATACCTATAAACTAAATCAGCCAATAATCACATAATCACACCCCAAGAATTGGGATTTTAGCTAGACATCATACTCGGTGAAGTAAGTCAGGCTCGCCAATCCACCCTTTGGTCAATTCCATCACCCTTTTTGCCTTGGCCTTCAGTATCCTCAAGGTCTATAACTTTGGGCAATCCAAAACTGCATCGCAAACCACTCGGCGATCCGCCGACTGCTCATTTCTCTAGCCAACTTGGTTTTTTTCTTCAGGGTTTGGCAAACTGAAACTTTAGGCAGTCAAATAGCCATCCGGCGACTCGCCAAGTGGACTTGGTGATCACCAGGCTTTCTCTTCGTCATTCTTTCAACTCGCTTTCTTCCTTTTTGCAAATTAGTATCGTAGATTTGTTCCTCATCCATACACCTTGAAATCAAGGGTTTTACATCAGTTATTGGCACCAAATAAGCATTTGAGGACACTAAATCAATATAAATAAAGCCCTAAATGAGTCCAAATCTAGGACTCTTCAACACCCCCAATATAAACTTTTGCTTGTCCTCAAGTAAAACTCGAGTTCGGCAGTTCAAAAAGGATATCTCAAACAATGCTACATAAGACTCAATCATGAATGCACACAACAAGACTTAACTTACTTACGCAAGGATCAATTGTGCACTCAAAGATTCAAGTTGTGACTCACCTTTATCAAAGATTGTCAAGTTCACATACTTGCTTTCAATGCAAGTTCAAGCTCAACAAAGGTACTCAAATGCC